ATTTTGTTTGGTTTGGAACAACTAACATCGATGGTGAAGTATAGTCGCTCACCTCGCATCCCTTTAGACATTGGTGTTCATTATAGTTATTTAGCTTATAACAATATTTTCCAACTTAGTTTTATTTGTTACTTGACGCTTTGTGGTCACAAAAGCATGTCTTTTCAAAGGGAGGAACTAGGGAATAATCTTTTCAAAATGTTAACTTCCTATTTCAGATTTGTGTTTGATAAACTAAGTGCTTAAAGTGTGACTTTGGGTGGCCCAAAGTGCGGATTTTAGTAGCCTAAAGTGCAAATTTTGGTGGTTCAAAGTGCCGATTTTAAGGTTGAGGGAAGTGCAGATTTTTATGATTAAATAAATCACTTTCTTAACAGCTTAAGAGTGGTATATTTAGTCTAAAAAAATGCAGCTTTTTGGGCTCAAAAGGGTGCAGATTTTGAGCTCAAAATGTGCATAGTTTGAGTGTAAAAAACTACAGGTTTTGAAGCTCAAAACACTGCCCTTTTGTGGGCTTTGAGGTGCAAAATTCAAGCTTCAAAAAATACAGATTTTAAGAGATAAAAACTGCAGTTTTTATAACAACTTCATTTTATGGATTTTTTGTGCCATTTTTCTTAGTTTGAAACCTATCTCTCTTAGGACCTAAAAGTGCATATTTTGAAACTAAAACATTATAGTTTGAGAGGTTAAAAGTGCACTATTTCTAAGAGCGCAGAACAACTATTATAGTTTGTTAGAATTGTTGTTCTTTTAGTCTTAAAAAGAATGCGTGGCTTAAATTGTTTGTTCCAAGTAAGACCAAATACTTTAAATTTGAATTTGCAAAAAAATATATTTCCTTTTTCCTTCTTATCCATATAAATTTATCACTACCCTTTTATAAATCTACTAGCTTCTTATCTTTTAGAGCTTATGAACGAATTTATTCATTTTTGCTATCTTGTTAGCCTAAGTTTGACAATAACCATTCTAGTGGCTCCTTAAAGGATGCTTAACGCTTTCTTTATGATAATAAAATTTCTTACCTAAAATTACACGAGTTAAATATACCATTAATAAGGGTTAATCTTAGAATTATTTAGTTCAATATTTAGATTTTTTTTTTACCTTTGAAATAATTAGACGTCAATTTTAAACCTTAAAAGCTAGAGGTAGAACAACCTTGAGTTGGATTACCTCAATAACTAGATAAATTTTTATATTCTTTAAATCACCCTTTTATAAAGAAATTATGTTTACTATTATCATTATTGTTATTTCCAGATATTGCTAAAATATTTTAATATCTTAACATGTCATTTCAAGATTTTAGATATGCAAACAGGTTCAAATACAGGGTACACATATATATGTCACACATATATATGTCGTACATATAAAGGTATATACTCTATATTTTCTTCACATAACCTAGTATTATCTACTATCTCTTTTACTAATGTTATTTATTTATTTTTATAATTTATAAATGCCTACACCTAAATATACATATTACTTTATTACACATAATTTATCATCAACTTATCCCTACATGTAAAAAGAATGATAAACATTCATATGTTTTGAACAACTTATATGTATATATTACACTTCATAATAAATATATTTAAAATCACAAGCCTTTATATAATATTTTGACATTAGTATCATTTATTTTATTTTATTTTAGAAAATTCCAATTTGTATATTTTCATTCAAATTACACATCACATATTACTATGTATTCACACCCAACTACTATCTTATTTTATTACGTCTTAATTCTATTTATAAATAAAACGACAAAATTTACATCCTTTAAACTCCACAATTATACATCTAAGTTAAGTTCAAATAAGATACATCTATTTTTTACATATAAATTTATCATACATTTAAGTACATTTATTTATTTTTACAATATGATAAAATACTACCATTAAATCTATTTTATAAGACTAATATATGTCGTACCTTGTATTGTACTCTTTTCTTAAATATAATAAAATTTACTTATCATTGATTTTAAAACAAATAAATAAACACGTTTTCCTAATTATATTTTCCTAAATTGAGTTTAAGGACTATCTTCGGATAGGCTCTGAGGGGTGCTTAACACCTTCCCCTCGAGTAATCAAAACCCTTACTCAGAATCTCACTGGTTTCGCAAATCAAAACAGAGTTTACATTTACATATTTAAAAAATGGTTTTCCTAATATTTTCCTTAAAATTTAGGTGGCGACTCTAAAACAAACAAAGCAATTTTTCCAAAATCAAAGTGTCAGCCACATTATGTTGTGAACTGTTTCGGCCGGTTCGAAATAGGGTGCGACAGCGTGGCGACTCTGCTGGGGACTTACTTAGGTTTTAACCTTAGAAAAACTCAATTTAGGAGCAACATTTGTGATTACGTGTTTATTTTTTCAGCTTGCTATTTATATATTGTTTTGACTAAAAGGTCGCAAGTGAAATCCAAGCTTGTGTTCCTTATTTGTTTTAAGACACTACTTGTTACTGTTTTCCCTACATTGTCATTTGCACATTATATCGAGTTTTGGCCGTACACGCACACACTGTACACTCGAGGGGGTGTTCCTACACTCCTCCGAAACTCTCTTTGGATTCCTTAGTTTCAGAGTTGGTGCAGTTAAGATAGTGCACCTTCTCGCAATTACTCAGTCCACTCTCAATCATCTAGGAACATAATCTTACTCTTAGAATAGGTCATGTTGCATAACCTTAGGCAAGACAGTATACGGTATTGTCGTTGCATTTAGGAAACCACCCAAATGTTAATGAGTTTCTTCTTTAAAACTCGAGACATAAACTTTGTGTGAAATTGATATAAATTATCCAAACTTAAACACTTAACAGATTTGGAGCAAATAAGCTCATCATACCCTTTACCCTTTCTTTCAAATGCAAATCAACCAAAACCTTCCTGATATCAGGATGATGACTGAGGTCCCCCCGAACTTTGAAAGAGTGGTGGGGAAACATCCGAGTGGCCTACATAAATGAGATTATGCTACACTTAGGGTCGTTAACTGATCTGCTGAATGTGGAGGCAAACAAGTCACTCATTACTCTAATGATTGAATTCTGGCAACCAACAACGGTGACCTTTCAGTTCGCAGATTTTGAAATCACACCAACATTGGAAGAGATAAGTCAAATTGTTGACTTACCGTTGGCTGGCAGAGTACCTTTGGTCCTGCACACTACGTTAGGAATCAATTTTCTCCAGTCTTTGGGTTTGAGGGTAGGCTAATATTTGCGAAGAGTTGATGAAGGATGGGTCAAGTTGGATTATCTGTTTAAAAGGTTCGGTCGTCGAGATAGCTATGATAGGTTCCATCGAGAATTCTTCATCTCCAGGGTTGATTGGGAAAGACTCAGGGCTATTGTCTTCGTGACGACCTTTTTGGGTATTATGATTTTCCCAAAGAAAAAAGGGTGTGTCGACATCAACCTACTGCCTATGATCATCTTCATGTTTAGGAGACCTATTAGAGTGACCATCGTACCCATGATCTTGGTAGAAATATTTCGATCATTATCCCTTTGCTCTAGAGGATATGATCACTTTAAGGGAAGTAACTTGTTACTTCAGATTTGGGTGTTGGAACACTTTTATCAAAGACATGCAGAAAATGGCGTTGAAGCAGACTTACGCAACAAAATCAAAAGCCATGCAACCAGATTGAGCATGTGGGATGCCCCGAATGATGAAGATGGTTGGCGCCTTTTCCTGACCCACGTCACAGGGAACCGCATTCAGTGGCGACTACTTTGGGTCCATGGCCGAGCTTTGTTGAGAACTAACCAGGCTTATTTTATTGAGTTGATTGGGTTGGAAGGCTTCCAGCCCTACGCACCTTTAAGAGTCCTACGACAGTTTGGGATTACCCAAGACGTTCCTCTATGGTCAAATATGGCATTGATAGAGGTCAATTATGAAGGAAGAATTTCGATCGAAAGGATCGCTGTTTTGGTACAAGGATAGTGCGGTATTCTTGACTCAAACATGAGGGTTGAATCGTGGTGCACTCCTGAATATTATACTTGGTTTATGATAGGAGGAATTCTCGCTAGGCCTAGCTATGAGGGAATATTGGGGTTCACGGACACTCAAAGGTCAAATCAAATTGGCATGGAGCTATTAAACCTCATACACATCACTACGACCATGTATCAGCAAGTGACCCCATGGTCTATCGACCATCTCATACAAGCAGTTGATGATGAACCATATGAAGAGATGGAGGAAGACCCAGAAGAAGATCCTAGAGAGCCAACTGAGGAGATGGAAAAGGATCTAGAAGAATACTCAGAGCATGACCCTAATTTGTATGACCTTAGAGATGGAGGAGTGATGCATATAGAGGATGAACATGTTCCAACAGTAGAAGACGCTCACTCAGAATATGATTCCATAGGGTTTGATGAAAGGGAAGATTCAAACAACTGGGAATGGAAAATCGACCAATCTCCAGAGTATCACCCGGGTCCTTACTATGATGTGGACGATGATGATAATGATGATGATGATGCTCCAACTTGGTCGTAGATCATCTTTCTTCTTTGAATTCCCTCACAAGTTTCTCAAAAGGCCGTATGACCTATCCCTCTTGTATGCCTTATGGCCACCCTTGTACTTTCATTTCTTCGGCTTCTGACCGCCTACATCGTTGTAATAGCCAAACCGTAATCAATGAAGTTATGTTTGCTCCAAATCTAAAATGTGTTTAAATGGATCATTTATTATCAAACTAATTGCAACGTAGGCTTACCTCAGGCAAAAAGAGGTTCTTTATTAAGTTGCGCTTTGAATGTCACCGAATTGGCGTATATATGTGTTACATCTACTTATTTGTTACGGCTTTCAATATTTCCCACACTAACATAGTTTTATTTTTCTTTGTTTTCCTTTCTTTATTTATCTCCAAAAGTACGTTGATTTGTGTTGACTTGCAAACTGGCTGACTCACGATACAACCTTCGATCAAAAAGAAAGATGACTGATAAAGACGACTTCAACGCTGCTGCAAACATAATGATACCTATTGAGAACCCCGAAGGTTCTCGAAACATGATGGACATCCAAAATGAAGAGAAAATGGCTCACATGGAGCAAGAACTCGAGATCTTAAGGGAAGAATTACGCCAAGTGCGAGACTTGGCCAAACTATCGGCTACCACTTTCCCTACTTCAAGACGCTTATCTACTTCGCAAAAGATGACTTGCCAAATCAGCCAGAACAAACTCAATGCGCTCCTACTCACGGTCAAGTACCACCAGCTTCTCCAACCGCGACCCTACCATACCTACAATGCAACAGATACTTGGGGCACATGTCGCCGCTCCGTATGAGCCACATGTTCCACCTGTATATGCCGCTGGGGCTCCAACCTTTACTATGCCAGCTGTGGTTAATGTCCCATACGAGGTCGATCAATATGAAGAAATGGAGAAAGATGCTCGGTTGAAACAAGACGCGTCGATAAATGCCCAGCTTCAGGGTCTGAGAAAAGCCTTGAAAAGCTTTCAAGTCTCTAGGGGGACAGAGAGTCTGGATTATGATGACTTGTGCATCCATCCAGACATTGACATGCCAGTAGGGTATAAACCACTGAAGTTTGACATGTTCGATGGAAATGGCGACCCTCACGCACATTTAAGGGCATACTGTGACAAGTTAGTCGGTGTAGGGAGAAATGAGAAGTTGAGGATGAAGTTGTTCATTCAGAGTCTGTCTGGAAAAGCATTAACCTGGTATACCCGCCAAGACCCTTGCAAATGGCGTGACTGGCAGGAAATGGCCGAGGACTTCATGACTCGTTTCAGATTCAATACTTAAATTACTGCTGACAGATTCTCATTGGCCAATATACAGAAGAAGCCATCTGAGAATTTCCAGGAATATGCACGACGTTGGAGAACTGAGGCCGCGAGGGTGCAACCACCACTAGATGAGAGTGAGCTCTCGAAGTACTTTATTCGAGCTCAAGAAGGTATCTACTTTGACAAGATGATGTCAATGATGGGTCAGAAGTTTGCAGAATTGGTCAAGATGGGAGACTTTATAGAGGAGGGTGTTAAATCTGGGAAGATTCAGTCTATGGTCGCATTGCAAGCTGCAAGTAGGGCTATACAATCAGGTTCCATTGGCGGCATAAAAAAGAAAAGGGAGGATGTTTCAGCTGTCACTTACCAACCAGGAGGACCATATCACCGATACCCCAATAATCCCCAAATCGTTGCGCATACTTCATACGTCCCAGTGTATAATACCCAACCACACTATAAACCACCCCGAGCACCAGCATACCAAAACCCTTCAAGACCATATGTCCCTATCCAAGCACCAATTCACCAAAATAGACCAGCATATGCACCGAGACCACGTCCAAATCCTGAAGCTAGAAATGCTCGTGCTTACACACCGATTGCTGAACCCTATGCTCAATTGTTTGAGAGGTTGAGGACAGCGGGAGTGCTGCAACCAGTTGAAGGAAAACTTCCTGATCCAATCCCTCGTAATTTTGATGGGAACAAGAGATGTGCTTACCACTCGGGAGTCCAGGGACACGACACAGAAGATTGTTATGGTTTGAAGAACCAGATCGAGTCTTTGATTAGGAGAGGAGTAATCAAATGCACTCTAGCACCTCCCAATGTGAATAACAATCCCTTGCCAAACCATGAGAATCGGGAAGTGAACATGGTTACTCTAGATGACGAATATGGGTCCTCCGACTATCCAAACATAGATGAAACTGATGCCATGACATCTTCGGCGCAACCTGTTATCACTGTTCAACTAAGGGAACCTCTGACTGTCCAAACATATCTTCCAAGAGTTGTAGTGACCACTCTAATTGCCAAGAAGCCTGAGTATGACACCAAAGCAGTCCCTTGGAACTATCGAGCAAGTGCCAAGGGCAAGATGATCGACACTGCCGTGGCTCAAGGGATGACTAGGTCGGGGAGGTGTTATGCCCCAGAGGACCTAAATCAAAGAGTTCTCGGAAAAGAACAGAATCCAAAGAAGAATATTACCGATACTGAAGCCGCAGAGTTTTGGAAAAAGATGCAGTCTAAAGACTATTCGGTTGAAGAACAGTTGAAGAAGACGCCAGCCCACATATCTATTTGGTCTTTGCTTATGAGTTATGAAGCTCATAGGAATGCTTTGATGAAGGTGTTAAGCGGAGTGATAATTCTAAAAGAGACCACAAGTGAGACCTTAGCTGCAACGATTGGAAGAATAGTGGAAGCTAACAAGATTTCTTTCCATGATAATGAGTTGCCCGCAGAAGGGGCTGGGCACAACAAAGCGCTTCACATCGCAGTCAAATGTTGTGATAAGATTGTGACTCGAGTTTTGATGGATGGTGGCTCTGGATGCAATATTTGTCCTTTCACCACTCTGAGAAATTTAGGTGTTAATATGGGAGAGAGAAAGGAAAGTCGTGTGAAAGTTAGAGCCTTTGATGGAGCACAAAGAAGTGTCATCGGAGAAATCTATCTCACATTGCAGGTGGGGCCGGCTGAATTCCCCATTTTATTTCAAGTGATGGATGTATCATCCAACTACAATCTGTTGTTGGGAAGACCATGGGTTCACATGGCAAGAGCGGTTCCTTCCACTCTTCATCAATGTGTAAAGTTTGAGTGGGGTCACACAGAAGTTACCATCCACGGAGAACTCAGTCACCCCATTCATTCTGTTAATTCTATACCAGTCACCGACGAGTTAGACGGAGCCACTTTTCACACTTTGGAAATCATGCAAGCTATAAGGGTCAATGAGGGAGCAGAGCCCGAAGATACCAAGTTGTCAAGTGCAGCGAAAATGGTTGCGTCAGAAATGTTGAAGTATGGATATCAGCCTAAGAATGGACTTGGACCTAAGTCCAATGGCATAATTGAGCCGATCCAGTTGAGGCATCAGAGAGGCACCAACGGACTAGGATATGAGCCTGCCTCGGGAAGAGACTGTCACGGGTCAAGCGATACAATCTTTGTACCAGAACAATCTTCTATTCTAGATCAAGCTGGCGTTGATGACATCATAGAAGGATTAGGCAATCTGTTCGTGGCCATGGCCGGAGAAGAGGAAGGGATAAATCTCTACAAGTTGACCATTCGTGATGCCAAACCTGGAGAAATCTTGCAGAATCGGATTCGGTCCCTTGCATTTTTACTTTTCTATTGTATTTGAACTACGTCCTGACCTGATTCCGCTTGGATACGTAGGCAGCCTGAGTCAGGCCCGGTCATTGCATTCTATATTTTCCACTTTCCTTTTGTATTCGAACTACGTCCTGACCTGATTCCGCTTGGATACGTAGGCAGCCTGAGTCAGGCCCGGTCATTGCATTCCATTCCATATTTTTCACTTTCCTTTTGTATTCGAACTACGTTACGATCTGATTCCTATCTTGGGGATACATAGGCAGCCTGAGTCAGGCTCGATCGATGCATTTTTATTTATTTATTTATTCTTCTTTACTTACCCTTAGGAAACACTTCCTCATAGTTAGCGTAACCTCAGAATGCCGAAGAATATTGATCGTCGCAGTGTCTGCAAAAGAGCTAGGAAAGCTTCATCAGAAGGATAAAAGCTATAGGAGGACTATGTTGGATATAGTCAACAAAATGGAAAGCGCGATGGACTTCGGAACATGTCATAATCTAAAACGCTGGAGAATTACTATATATATATATATATATATATATATATATATATATATATATATATATACCTAATATATACGTAGTATACTTATTTTTCTAGAAAAACAAGCTAATTCTCTTCAAAAAAAAATATTTTTTTTTCTACTCATCCACCTACCAAGTCTCTAGGTTAAGAAACTATGTGCGGTACTGACAAGGTGTCGAAGGATTCTAGTGACGAGGCTTCAGTCCATAAGTCGATGCAAATCAACACCCCCTCCCAAACTAAAATTTTCTTTGAGTGCAGGAACACAGGAATCAAGAAAATAACATCAAGTTTTGGGGCATGACCAGACAATCCATTCGACTTCTCACAATCATGAGCCAGAATACTCTTTCCCTACTTTATTTCCCCGAAGTACTTCAACTTGCATCTTATGTCTTAGAATATTTCATTTAAATTTTTGCAGGTACGCTCAAGATCCGGATCAAGTGCTGAAGAAAAGAGGATCCTCATAGGAAAATAAGATAGTTAGGTTTCTTTCAGAATAACTCCACCAACTGGAGATTGTAATCTAACCTCATCAACAACTCCGCCAATCGGAGACCACCGTCTAACAACGTCAAACTCCGCCACTTGGAGGCTGTACATAACAAACATCATCAAACTCCGCCAATTGGAGGCTGTACATAGCAAACATTGACCGAACTCCGCCGATCGGAGCCTGTATATAAGCAAAGAAGCAACACTCCGACAATCGAAGACTAACATTGTAGCGACGTCACCGAGGCTCCACCGACCGGGGGCATGCAAGCATAGCGACACTGTCATACGCTAACAATAATATTTTACATTACAAGCTTTACACAGCCGGATACAGGCTTTACATTACAACAACCCCGCCAGCCGGAGGCCTTACATTACAAGTTTTACACAACCGGATACAGGCTTTACATTACAACAGCCCCGCCAGCCGGAGCCTTACATTACAAGTTTTACACAGCCGGATACAGGCTTTACATTACAACAGCCCCGCCAGCCGGAGGCTTCACATTACAAGCTTTACACAGCCGGATATAGGCTTTTACATTACAACAGCCCCGCTAGCCGGAGGCTTTACATTACAAGTTTTACATAGCCAGATGCAGGCTTTTACATTACAACAGCCCCGCTAGTCGAGGGCCTCTACATTACAAGTTACTTTGCCTACATTACACTCACAACACAAAAAGAGGCGTCAACAGTCGTCTGAACATCTACACTCTGCTTTTTACATTACTATTTCAATTTATAATTCTTGAACCGCAACAGGTACTTTTCACCCTTTTACATGTTTTGCAGGACAAAGCATTACAACGAGGAACTCCCTCTAAGCAGCAAACTAGGGCAAGTTAGTGCAATGTCAAGCATCACTAGCTACGTCAAAGATTCACTTTCAAAACTCGACTCAACTCGATTTTCAGAAGTTCAGATTTAAATTTCACTTATAGCTCTTTCATGTCTCAGTTCATTGTAACTCGACACCGGGCATTCTTTTTAAAATTCATCTACCATGAGTCTTTAGTAGAAATTGCTACGGAGCATCTCTCATACAAGTTTCTTTAGAACTGTATCTCATCCCTCTATTCGTGCAAATCTCTTCATACCTCACCACCGAAAGATTTCAGTATTATCATAATTCAATACTGGGGCAAATTTTTAATAAAAATTTGCTATGTTCTCGAACTACATGTGGCCTGATTTCTCATGAAACCTGAGATATGTACGAAGCTCGGAAGCCAGAGTTCGGCCATAACTCCATAAACATTCTTGTCAAGTTATTGCTCAAAGTGTATTTCGTGGGTCGCCTAAAATTGGATTGTGTCAATATTTCTTTGCCCACGTCTTCTTTACTCTCTTCCATGGACAAAGAAAGGGGCAAGCTGTTGACACCCAATTTTGGCTCTCCACATTTAACTATAGTTATAATTATAATAATAATAATAAAATATATATGTTATGAAATTTTTTCATAGGAATACAAAAATTTTAATTACTTATTTGACTTGATAAATTTATTTCTTAAATGTTATCTCTTATAAAAATTATATATATTATATTACTACTTACTTTCTCATTTTTTTTAAATAAATGTTGTTCTTCTTAAGAATTGAATCTATTTTGATTCAAATATAATTCCTTTTGTCGCAATAGATATTTTTCGTACATTTATTAAAATTAGAAAGCTTAGTTAATTGATGATTTATTAATTTATATTAATTTAATTTTAAGAGTGACTAATTTTATCAAATAAGCTAATCTTGCAAAATAATTATCTCTTATGGCTATTTAATAAAGAAAGTAGTTATAATTTAAATGAATTTAATTTGAACAAATTTGGCAATCCAAGTCTCCTTAAACCGGCCAATCCGTGTATGCCACGTAAGTGAGCACATGGATTGTGCTTCTTTAGCTTAAATCTTGACCCTACGATTAAATCTAACAGTCCTAGTTAATTGAGCTTTTACCATTATTTAACATATATATATATATAACTTTTCCTTTTAATTTTCTGATTTATTTTAACCGTCCGATCGTTTAAATTAATAAGACCTTTTTCTTTTCCCAAAATAGTACAATCCCAATGCCTCTGTTCTTCTTTCTTTTCCCAGATACACACCACTTCATCTCCCATCAACCTTTCTCCTCCTCTGCCAAACGTTTCTACCTACAGACCACCGGAAAATGGCAATTTTCGGTGGTTTTCAATATATCTCCCTATCCTCTATCAATCATAGCCTCCTCATGTCAACTTTACATCCCTTCCATAATATTTTCCTGAATCGAAACAGACCTCAAAAGCCACACCATCGCCGCTGCCACCACTGAAAAGGTGGAGAACGTGAAGGACCATCGGATTTGGGATCGTTATCCTTTTAATCCGATGGTTGTGAGATTGGAACCCCCAATCCGTCACTCATTCTTTCTAATCAATCTGAAAAGAGGTTGATAATACTTTCTTCCCCTTCATCATTATTCCTTTAGATTTGGCTTCCCTAGAGTTCAAAAAAAATTTGAATTCTTGAGGCCCAAATGAAGTTTACGATTTGTCTATAAAAGGAGCCATTTGGTTCCATTCGGAAAAAAAAAATGGATAGGAACGAGATCGGAGAACAAATAGAAAAGAGGGAGAAGACATACTTCAAGCATTAGGTTTCATAAAATTTTTGTATTCTTTCATCTTTTCGTTTTCGATTTTGAATTCGAGTTCGAGGAATTTAGAAGTTGAATCTTGACGTCAAATCTCTAGTTTGTTGCTCAACATAAGGTAAAATTATTTTCAAATCTTGATTTAGTCTTAAGTAATGCATTTTATCGATAAAAACTAGTTGCACTTTATTTTCTCTTTTGTAAATATTGTTCTTTACAGTGTCTTTTCTTGCTTCCAATATATGGTATTTGCTTTAGTTGTTGTGATTAGGTAGTAAGGATGTTGCTGACCTTATGTTAAGAATTGCAATTTTTGAGTTTTGTTATTTTTATTGTCTTACTTCATCTGTGCTTTCTGCGTTCACTTTTAGCTAAAAATCTTCAAGTTAAATAGATTGAAATGTGATAGTTGTCCATATACATGTATGTCAAATGCCTTTTGAAGTGGTTTGATGAATATTTGAATATTGAAAATATCTCCTTCGATCACTCAAATTCTGGGAGTAGTAAGTATTCGCCCTGTTTTAGTTTTGAAATGGTAGCATGTCACTTTCGTTATCGTTTTGTTTTGAATCTACCAGATTGCTTTAAATATGAATTAATTCCTAAATGACTAAGTCGGTTGTTCGATTCTATGTCTCTGTTTTGTTTGGGACTTGTGGGTTTTAAGGTTAGTGATGAATAAAAGAAATTTTAATTATGCTCAGTACATGTGAAATAGTTCACAACCAGTAGCCTTTTTTTTTTTCTTTTTTTTCTTTTTCTCTTTGTCTATTTGGTGTATGCTCAGTTAGTAATGGTCCTTGTTCGTTGTCCCGTGACGCTTTCATGATGCTTCTCTTATATATTAAAAACAAGCATGTCTAAATTATGCTAGATATTGGCGGTTTAGATATCTGGATATATGATAGAACAGGGACAATTTCATCAAGTGATTGCCTCATTTTTTTCATTTTTAGACTAAAGTGCACCATTTACTTTGCTGAAAATTCTGGGGATTTCAGTTTGTACGTAGTCGATGTGTCATCTTATTACGAATTAGATAGATTAAGTTGCTTTGAGCTCTACTTAAATAACTAAATCAAGGGACCAATATATATTTGTCTTCCATCTCTCACTTGATAAGCAAATATTTTGTAAAGTAAAAAAAAAAGAGATAAACATCCTTACCCTAATGTTTGTTAACTGTCATTGAACTTATATGCTAAATTGATTTTGAAATCATGTTCTATGTAGTTTTGTAAATTTGATGTATCCTGGAGTGATTACACATGAAGTTCTTTGTCCTCTACGTAGTTAGACAACTGGATGATTCATTTTTTTTGATAGGCATTAGACAATTTTGATTTATCTTA